AAGCTGATCGCCTTGGTTGGGGTCACAGTCCTGTTTCCTCTCACACTCGGGGGTTTCAAGGACTGTAGTGGCGTCGAGGAGTATACTGGGGTTTGAGATAATATTTAAAAGAGTTCATTTAGTGGGGTCTCCACATTCAATCTTTTTGATGTGGTCTATGAAGGATGTTATGTGCCTTGGAAGATCAGAGTCTAAAATCACAGTAGTTTATCACATACAGCTTGGGGCTAAAGTATCTAATTAGGAACATAGTACCAGGCTCATTATCCCCTAGGTTTCTATGTAAGTATCGTTAAGCAGCCACCACCACCCCCACACCCCCCCCCACACACACATAGGAAGCTGCTCCTTCCTGTTTACCCACCCACAGAAATATAAACACCTCCTAAGGAACATAAATGCCCCCTCCTCGTCATCTTGACTTGTCTTTCCACTAAGGTTCCCATCTCACTCTTGTAGGCGTGTCTGTGGATTTGGCGTGGGCTTGTGATGTCGTATGGCAACAAATGAATAGTCTTCTCCCTTCCCCCGCTTCTTGAAAGAGTAACCTCCACTAAGGTGAGGTCTCCCCTGCCGATGTGGGTTTAAACATGTTGCGACGTGTGGCTCTTTGTCTGGGAGACTCGATTAGAACTGTATATGGCTTGGGAGCAGAAGCCCACCTTACCCTTACAGGCAAGGACTCATACAATATGTGTCCTTTGGTGCTTGATGAATTGCCCTCAGCTGACTGGTTTCCAGGTCCTTCTATGCCGTGTGATATTTCATGCTTTCAAATAGGATACGTTTCTAATAGTGAAACAACTGAGTGAAAAGGTGAACATTTTAAAAGTTCTTGGAACATATTATGGCATATTATGAAGTTTTTTCAAAGTTTTCAGCCTCACTGGTATTGTCTCGCCTATCATACCCCACACTTATCAAAAATGAGAACCTGTTCTTTCTACAACATGGGGTCCAAGGGAACTGACCCCACAACACCATACTCTGGCCATGATTTCTGAGGAACTTACCGAGCTGAGGTGGAGGGCATAAGAGACAAGTTAGAGGGATGTTTTGGGAAGTGTTATTAAAGGCCAAGAACAAACTGGCAGTACATTGGTGTGGGGCTTAGGGAGACGCAGGTGGGAAGAGAGCACAGGGCACTGACATCTACTGGATACCTTCACGGATTCTATTTCTCTCTCAACTATTCAATAATAAAGATAGTTCGATGCTGGTTTCCCACTGAGGAAACTGAGGCCCAGAAAGAGTCACATGGATGATCAGTGGCCAAGCCAGGATTCCATCCAGCTCTCTGACTCCAGGGGCAGCCACGGCATCTTGTCTCGTCCTGGTGCTCTCAGGAGAGCAGCACCGGGAGGTACGGGGATGACAGGGCCGAGGACAAAACATCAAGGTCAAAACCGAAAAGGTGGAGGAGAGACAATGTTTATGACTAATGCCCATGTCTGGGAAGCGATGAGGGCTGGTGCTCCAAACGGGGGGAATGAACAGTGCTTCTGGCAGAAGATCACATTCTCCAGGGGTGGTGCATGGGCTCAGCACTTGTGGCATGCCACTGAACTGGATAAACGGATTGATTTCAACAGGTACCACAAACCACAGCAAACATCCCTACCGAGCCCCACATCACCCATGTGAGGTGCTCACAGAGGCGTGCGGAGCGGAGAAATCAACAGCTGCATTTGATGGCCAAAACCCAGGAGGGGAGGCAGCAGTCCAGAACCAGTTAAGTGAGAAAGACCAGGTCACGGGTGGAAAAATGATAAATCTGTGGTTACTTCAGATTACTGTGCTGCTCTTTAATTTTGGAATAAATGATATGTTATGTGAAGGCGTGGCTTAATTTTTTTATTGATTGTGGGTAAGGCAGGGTAATTAAATTTTACAACATCTATTCACAGGACAAACAAGCACCTCAGTAGGTATGGTACTGATTTGATCATGAGGTGGATGGGAATTAGAGCAGTGAGTTCCTGGCTGGTGTATCATGGAAAACAGAAGTGGGGTTCAGCGTTGCGTGTTGGTTGCGAGTGGCAGGCAATGGCAAAGATGAGGTGACAGAGGGTGTTTGGGGAGGGGGAGGTTTGTGGCTGTGGTGAATAGAGCTCAATACAAACACGTCTCTCTCTGAACTAGAGATCATGGCTCAAGCACCCATTTGCAGTGTTGATGGAGCCAGTACTGAAGCCACTTGGAATCATACCAAAGTTAAGGCTAGTTTAGCGAGGCCCATAGGCAAAGGGCATCGACTATTCAATGTACTTCTGGCTATGTGTGCTAACTACACGTTAGGGACTAAGTTTGTTTGGTTCGTTTTATAATATGCCTCCCACAAACTGGTACGCAGTCCGTTTATAGTGGAGCCTCTGGGTGACGCAAAGGTGAAGGAAGGTGTTCACCTATGAGCTGATTGATTTGGAGGTTTGAGTCCAGAGGAGTCTCAGAAGAAGGACCGGGTGATCTATTGAGAAGTCAGTCATTGTAAACCCTGTGAAACATCGTTCTCTGGCACAGGGGGTCCGCATGAGTTGGAATCAGCTTGGTGGCCCCTGGGATGAATGGAAATTCAGAGTCATTTACAAATCAGCATGAAGTAAGGCATTGGGTTTGGAATTAAGAAATAAGGTTGATTTATTTTTGGCCTGGCTAGGCGAATTTTTCTCTGCAAATGGTAACTTGCTCTTGAGAGAGGAGAGGGTGTAAGCAGTATGTTGAATTTGAAATGCATCATAAGACAGAAGATTATTTTTCTTGGCCCATGCAGCCCTGATTGTTGTAGCTTGTTGATGTGGACCTTTTAGGCGCTAATAGCTGACTGTATCCTCCACAACCACCCATACCCTCCAGTCCTCTGCTCAAGTCCTGTGATGAAATAAAGCACTTCTAGATCTATCATTGTCACCTTCTTAAGTAACAATCAGATCATTGTGAGACACTAAGAGAGATGGACCAGTGAGAAATGGATTATCTCCTGACTGATAGGGCCGAGGCTTGAGGAAGAAGGGAAGAGTTGGCATTACATGGGTTCATTTAGAAAAATACTCTGACATTTAGCTCTAATCCTTAGATTTTCTTTGAGGTGGAAACCCAAACAGCTGAGCCTGGAAGCAAGGGCTGAAAACCACCATCATCCTCATAGTAGAAAGTCTAGTCCATGAGAATTTCTTATATGGGATCTCGTCTAGCTGACATCAGCCATTCCTGTCCTGTCCTCCTTCTTCATACATTCTCTGTTTAATTAACGACTGGACATTCGTTCTTAAAAGCGTGCTGCCTGTGAAATGAAGAAGCCTTGGCCAAGTGTCGTGGTGAAGCACTGGGCCGCCAGCGGCAAGGTCGGCAGCTGAAACCACTAGCCCCCTGCAGGAGAAGAAACCAGATTTTCTACTTCTGTACAGAGTTAGAGTCGTGGAAACCTCTGCCCGTATGAGTCAGAATCAACTCGATGACAATGGTCTCTGTGGGTGTTGTTGTTGTGACTCTGCCAGGTGTTGCTGTGTGTAGGGCTTATCTATCCTCACACTACTTATTACAAAAGCCAAAAACACAAAACTCACCGCCACTGAGCCAACGCCAACTTAAATGACCCCGTGGGACAGAGGACAGCTGCCCTGTGGGTTTTTGAGGCTGTTAATCTTTACAGGGACAGAAAGCCTCACCTTTATCCTCAGAGCACCGGTGGGTTCGAACTTCTGACATCTGTGGTTTGCAGCCCAACACATAACCCATGACCCCTCCAGGGCTCCTTTTCTCCACTGGACAGAGGAGATGAAAATAAGAGCAAAGCAAAATACAACTTGCTGCGCTCGAATCCATGCCGACTCCAGGTGACCTTGAGGACAGATAAAAACTGCCCTTGTGAGCATCTGATAAGGCACCTTTTTACTGGAGTTGAAAGCCCCATTGATCTCCCATGGGAATAGAGCATGGGGATAGAAAGCCCCAGCTATTTCTGCCATGGATGATCATGTGGTTAGCAGCCCAACCTGTAACCACTACGCCACCCGGGCTCCCATACAGATGAGACGAAGCTTTCTGCTCCTGTGAAGAGATTCAATCTCGAAAACTCATAGGGCCAGTTCCGCCCTCTCCTACAAGGTTGCCAGGAGTCATCTGCTCACTGGCAGTAAGTTTTGAGTGTTGAGCTCACACCACTTGTAAGGAGCATGACTGACATTTGAGCCCTGGCAGCTTGGCCGAAGAGGACACTTTTCCAAACCCTAATTCTACTCACCCAGGCTGTGCCACATGAGAGTCCGTAGAAGCTATTCTAATAATCATATGTGTTTGTATGATGCATGTGTGTATAACATGTATTTATCATTCATATATGAAGGGGCTTCAAATAGTTCATGGAAAATTTTTTATTATCTTTTCATTCCTTTTTTCACGAACTTTTTGAAAGCCTCCTTGTATTTCCTTACAAAGATATGCTTTATACCCTTCAATAAACTCGCTCTTTCTGTTCAAACCTTTAAAAATAAGATATGCTTTAGAGATAGAATTTGCATATAGATCTGCTCATCTAATACACATACTCTTCACTTTATCAATTATCTCGTTAAGTGACACTTCACATTTATGACAAGCGTGAAAAATAATGACTGCCTAACTGCTGTGCACATCAACAATGTATGTCTGGAGTAATGAGTGCAGAGGTGCAAGGTGAGAGTCAAGCTGGCTGTGAAGGTTAAGGTTATGTATCCACTTGACTGGGCCGAGCTTCCCCGTGCTTCGGTAGCTGTGCAATACTAGAATTTGGCGGGTGCTTAATGATGTAGTCATCCTCCATTTTGTGACCTGAGGTGCTCAGCCTGCATTATCACATAATGCTGGTGCTAGAATGACAACTTGGGCTTTGGCACTAACAATGCTGATAAGGGAGGAGTGGGTGCCACTGTGAGCAAGCATTTTTCACACAGATACTATTGATGGGCATCCTTGCATATTGAAGCATCTGGGAGTATCCACTTTAAGAGCTTGCATAACCCTGGCTACTTCAGGACAGCAGCGGCGTCGGTGGCTTTTATTGCTTTTGTCTGCTTGCGCTTCCCTTTTTAGATAAACAGACAGCTTTGTGACTACGCGTGCTTGATTTGCAAAAGGATCTGCTTTCCTGTATTTAAGATATTGGAAAACATGCATGCATGGATTTGCTTCTTATACAGTACAGGATTCTATAAGGGGGCTTCAAAAATTGTGGGAAAATATAATTAAGCAATAATGGTTCCTTGGGAACAAGATGTGGGTGGGGAGGGATAGGGAGCCAATAACAACGAGTTCAAGCGTGAAAACAAATGTTCTGAAACTGTGGAGATGGTTATGCAACTCTTCTCAATGTGATTGAACAATTGAATTGTATGATGTGTGAGTTATATGCCAATAAAACCATTGGGAGATAAAAGATCATGGAATTTTTCCGCACATTTTTGAAGCTCCCTCATACTTGGCCAGGTGAAGCCCCGGGTCCTGAGCTGTATCTGGCTCTCTGGTTATCCTACGAGTATCCACTTGATTGGGCCGAGCTTACTTTTCTTTGCTACACAGGAGCAGAGACTTCCAACGGCATGTGTTCCTATGCTGGCCCGCAGGCACTTCTTAGAAGTCTTCCAAGAGTCATTGCTCTTAGAGTTGACTCCAGTTTGTCATCTTTGGGGTCATCTCCTTCCCAGATCAACTGGAGCCAGTGGCCCCTCCACATGCTACTCAGAACCATGGGCCTCAATTACAACCTCAACTACCCTGGCTCTGCCAGAACCAGAACCAGAACCAGGCACAAGAGCCCCGCTGGAGAGCATTTAGCGCTTCAAGAAGATGCTTCACCTCCTTCTCAGCCAGGATGGGCTGGGGGTGATGCTACTTGGAGAGCGGTCTTCTCTGCTCCCGCAGACTGCACGCCCACTCCTCGGCTCCTCGGTAAGAACGGCCTTGCAGGTGAGCAGGTCCGTCCCAGACCCTGAAGGGGTTTGACGGTTTCACTGTCATCATTCCCCTCCATTAAATGCAAATATGAAAGGATCAGATGTACCCCGCCCCCCTCTAAATATGTCCTCCATCTAAATCCGACCAACTTCTTAGAGATTTGGAGAAGGAAGCTGCCCCTTATTTCATCCAGCTCAAGTGTAAACAGGGAACGCCGAGTATGCTCCACACAGAGGTGAGGTGCCAGCATCTGTCCTGGAGGAGGGACCCTCAGTGGTCCCAAGAGGGGCCAGCCTGCAGGTGGACGTTGACCTTGGTCTCAGGATCCTTTTTTCCGCCTTGAGGAGGGAGAGTCCCGGGGCATTTACCTCCCTGCTCCTCTGTGGGGACAGCTCCAGAAATGTGCTGTCCTAGGTGAGATAATCAGGCATCCAGAGCCATCTCTGCCCAATGGAACTGAAGCCCTGCTGAAAGACGCAGCACCACAGTGGGAACCAGATAGGGCCTGCTCCAGCCAGATTCGCAGAGCCCATTGGGCATGGGAGTAATTCCATGAAGGGCCCCTACACACACACACACACACACACACACACACACACACACTCCTACACTCCACTACCAGCCCTATCAGTGAGGTTCGAG